TATCATTCTGCCCACGCTCCCTTCGTCTAGCTTGTGTGCGAGTTGCCGACGGCCAAGCCCAGCTGAACGTCAAAGCTTACTTAGCACGTCTTGACATCAATCCAGTTAATGGCATTTATCGACACGCCTATATCAATAATTCCTTGCTAATTCATAATTTACTGCGACGGTAGCATCCCAGATAATTGCAGTCCAAACGCACGGGCAGCTATCTAGGTACCACAGGCTTTCATGCGGCCTAAAGGGTCAGGTTATCCATTCGTCGACAGGGGACCAACTCTAGGATCAAATTTTGAACTCATATGATAATCGCCACCCCCTTAAGGGAATTATAGCGCTGTGCTTTGTCTGGCTTGCTGACCCATTGGTAACTTCTATTTGCACGGCAAACATTGACATACAGTTATTATCCATTTCATGCGGGATAGAGCGAAGCCTGATCAAGTGTTTCATGTTGAGTGAAGAGCGGCTCAGCTATGATGTGCCCTCCATAACGAAGCATGTATATTATCTTTTTGACAATGACAAAATGTAAAAAGTGCTATTACCTCAAAGCATTTCTCGTCAACACGAAGTAGTGCCATATCTTTAACAGAGCTATGTAGTGTCATGAAAGCGGTGTAGCACAGCTAGTTTTGCCCGTACGTTCTTAGTGTAAGGAGTTACTTGTGATTATGAGGTGGTGAGGTCAGACGTCTGTTGAAATAAAAGATTATACCGTAGGCGATGATCGCACCCACGATGCCTATCACCACACTGATAGCAAAAACGTACTCGTTTTTCATCCATGTTGGCCCGTCTCGTACATTTCCCCATATGAAAAGGATGCAACCTATGACTCCTATTCCACAAAGAAACAGTCCTAGGCCGCTACGGCGAGCAAGTTTTTCTCGCAATTCGGGCGACATAGCTTTGTAACAGTGCCCCCGAAGTACCAGTTTTTTTGTAACAAGCATGTAAAGACCTGTGCTGATAAATAGAATAGCGCTTGCGCCTAAAAAGATCGAAGCAATGATGGCTAAAAAGATAGGCATAGCTACCCCTTT